TTGTATAAAATGGATTGAGCCCAAGGAGCGGGCTCATTCCTAATACGATTTTCGGTAATTTAGCTTAAAGTTTAATAATTATAAAGTTATTAACAGTTCTAATCAAAGAACGATAATATCAAACAGTGTTTCTTTTTAACCGACTTCAAAAAAGGAGGAGGTTTTCTCAATTCGACCGTATATATTTTTATTTTTTTTTATGTGTGTACGCGGATAACTTCGTCGTTTATGAGCAGATTTTGAAGATTCTTTTTTTGTCGGAAAGGTGATATCCTAAGGTTGGTACCACGGTAAGGAAACCCGGATCTGACGATGGCATCCCAGAGAAATCGAGGGCAATCATTGAATGTTATATTTATTAACAACGTTTTTAATTTTCTGATTGAAGTCTGTTTTTTTTTTTTGTTAAAAATTATACTTGTACTCTTCATAATAATATACAACCGGCAAAGATAACAGTGATGCTCACCGACACTTTAGATTGCGGCATATAGTTATACCGTAAACCAGAAATGTAAAGTGACTTTTGCCAGACGCCAATTAGCATGATACAGCGGAGCGGTACAGTAAATACGTCGATACCAATTCGTGGACCGCTGGGGCGTGGGTGGGCCCGTACCTTTGACCGTCGCACGTGGGCACCGGGTCACGGCACGGGCTAACGGTGAATTGGAAATTTTGAATTGTGGCGCCTTTATTGTTAAATCATTCAAATTTTTCAATAACACGTCGCGCCCACGTTTGGCGTAGATGTCTAAAGTGCCCTCAGCCTTTAGGAGAATGCGCTAAAACGTCCGCTGAAGATATATTATTGGTGAATAATTAACGGTGTATACTACGACAGTTTCTCGTCTGCGGTCGCAATAGCATCGTCTTCTGTTCGGTCTAAATATTGTATAGCTTTCGTATATTTCACTGGCTGATAACCGCACGTTCGTCTGAGTTACATGTTATATGTATTTATGACATCATCATCGTCATCACCACTGATGAACACAGGACTCCTCTAGGGATTTCCACTACGATCGGTTTGAAGAGGCCTGCATCTTGTTATTATTTATATAATTGCGCGTATTTTATGTGCAGAGGTACAATCCTTGAAAACATAATACTTATAAAAATCGTTGATTTTTAAAACTTTAATAACTTTACAATAAATAAAATAATCACAATTTTTTTTTATCTATCCAGTTGTCTTTCCTCGTTAATAATATATTATCTCTTTATTGACTATGCTTAAGTGCCAAATGACAGACAAAGATCTGCGCTAGGGTTACTCGGAAGTGAAGTTTCCAGTAGGTGGTACAGAAAAATCTCGAAAGCGGTCACCGCGCCCGCGAGACAGCAGCTGTCTACGGGCCAGTTGTCTAATCAACATGCGAGCCAGTGAAAACTGTTCGCTGGACAGTCATACAGACAACGCTCCGGGCCCCGTCGACGCGTGGGCGCCACCGGTGACCATAGAGATAATGCATTTGACGTAAATCGAATTCGTTTACCCCGCGGCACCCACTGAATTACGCAAGTGATATTTATATGGTATCCATATTGTTATTTTAGAGAAAACTTTAAGCGTTTGCATAATCGCGTAACAAATCCATATACGATACTGTTGGAAGATAGGAGGATATCAATTATCGTTTCTATTTCTAAGAATACCATATACGATAGCGATGTAAAGAACATACGACAATTTCTAACACGTGTTTTCAATATCGTCTCTCGTCGCCCGAAAGATCTTGCTAGATAGGAATGAAGTATTCTAGGCATAGAAAATTAATATCGAAAAGCACTGCCTATTTTTTTATACCTCCAATAATTTACTAATTAATAATTCGGTAAAGAAACAAAAAAATACAGCCAAGCTCCAAAAAAAATTAAACCGCACGGTTTAGTTTCAACAGAATAAAAATTTCAAAGTAAAATCCAGAACAAAGTAGCGCCGTGTAATACGTAATAAGTTTTTATACATACAATTATGTTAAATAATATACGTGACGCATGTCCATACCGCGCTGCGTTTAAAAATTGTTCCGCTTTACATTATATGACACATACTTTCGCGTTTCGTTTGGTGAGTGAGGTAGCGCGAGCCCAATTTTCAAAAGGTTGACAACGCATCTGTAACCCTCGGGTGTAGCAGATGTCCACGAGCGGCGGTATTCACTTAACATCAGGTGACCCGTCTGCTCGCTTGGAAACTTTTCACATAAAAAAAAAATAAAAGTGAATGTGACAGATGATATAGAACGTATGATATCTAAAGAGATAGTCGTCTATTGAATTGCAATCTAATTACACCAGTCGGTGTAATTTGAGTGGCTTCAATTTCGGTGCGCTAGTGTCATATCTTTGTATATAATATCATTGCATACATATACGTATAAAGACATCGTAAAATTTATATGTAACCGACGCATATACATAATTGACCAAGGGGCTGCTAACGGATTAAGTTCATGTCGCGAGGATCCAAAAAGGCTGCAACGATGCGTTCAGACGGACTAATTAATTTTGATACGTTTATTTATGGTGTTCATTAGAGTCAGGTGGTCGAGAATTTTCGGTCATGAAGATTATTTATGCCGTTCAGCAATACCAAGTATTTACTTAACAAAAATTTGCATATAATCCAATACCTACTACATAAGAATTTTATTTAAGAAATACTTTTTTCGACGCGTTGGGAAAAAATATTATACATAGTTAAATAGTAGTTGGTTGCGACCAAGTTCACCATTCTTGGTTAACATGGCAATACTTGCTTCGCAACCAACTTCACGACATTGCAATGGCAACCAATAATTAATTATTATTAATATTATTTTTACTACCTTTAAGCTTAAGTACATAAGTACACAAACACTTTTTTTTTTTCATTCAAATATATCTGCCCATATGACACATATTTCCAATGTTAACTGTAACTAGGGGATAAGAAATCTTGTGAAGTACATTATACAGATGACCTGAAAGGACAGAGCTGAGTAGACAACAGTCCAAATTCGTGTAATTTAGAAACGGAAACTTCGAAAAACCCGTTTAAATATGCTACGTATTTGCGACTTGCGTGTATCATATCGCATGCATCGTATATAAGCTTCATAAACGGCTTGTGAACAGACATCGTATGTACGTAGTTTCGTCGCCATACAATAATACTCCTCATCTTTATTGCAAGACGGTTTATATTCCTTTAACTGGCTAAGTGAATACCCGCGAGTGCATTTCTCTGGATTTAATCTCGTACGTGAAGATTCCCTTGCGTTGTTTACCTTAACGCTTTTTGTTTTTATTGCAATAAACATAAATTCAATCGGTGTCGCGGCCGGGGTCTTTTTAAATCCGACCGACTGGCGTAGTGGGTAGTGTACTTGACTCCTGCGTCAGAAGGTGTGGATTCGATCCCCACTACTGGAAAAATTATTTGTGATGAACATAGTGTTTTTCTAGTGTCTGGTTGTTTATATATGTATAATATTTATTTATTTACAAAAGAAAAGTATGTTTAAGTATGTTTATCACTTATCTAGTACCCATAGCACAAGCGTTGCTTAGTTTCGTACTAGAGAACGTTGTGTAAAAATGTATCCTAAATTATTTATTTATTATTAACTAACGAATTAGAGGCCGCCACAACCCGATTATAGAGTTCGACTCTCTCGCCCCCGTAAAATGAAAACCAAACGGGTTAGGTCCCCTCCGGCGCGTTAAAATATTGTTTCCCGAAATAGATTTAGCATCACTAAAACGCTGTAACCTAATAATTTAACGGTCGAATTTTTAATTTCCTCGCTCGAACGGACAAATCGGTAACGCGATACTATCCGAAGCTCGAATTCGATCCGGCGCGGGCGAAAAAAAACATGGCGTCGGAGCACGATTGTGTTTCCCTCCAAATCGCCGCTGCTTTTTTTTTGCGTTCTGAAACCCGAGTTTCCGTAGAGAGGATTAAATTAAGGTTAGGCAGGGAATATGAGATTCGGGTTACGTTAGCAAGATCGTTGAGGAATTTATTGCTAAGTAAAAAAAACTCTCAGTCTGTTAAAAACAGATGTAGGTGACACAAAACACAGCTAGACTACCCAACGTTTCATGACATAGCTACTAAATGTTTTGAGTGAATATAACCCCAAAAGCTCACGTCATTCAGCACTTAAAAGAGCTACTGATGGATTTATTTAAGTGTTACATTAACCTACCACTTCGCGTTATTCATATAATCAGTCGTTTATTGGTTAATAAAACTTAGAGATGCCATAAATATGGCAACGGAACGGGCGTTCTTGCGGCGGGGACAACTTTCCTCGATTGCTCTCCACCCACGACGCGATTGAGATAACATGGCGGCAGATCACGGGCTCGACACCATCGTTAGCGTGACTAACGGAGGCTAATACTGCTTTTATTAGCTTCCGGGTTAGGAAACCATCAGGCGCGTGCACTCCATACAAGCAAAAAGCTACGCGTACCCTGATATCCCGTAAAAATATACCCCAAAACACTTAATGCCAAGAGTAATATTAAAGTTGTCATTTACAGATGTTAATTGTTAGTGATAATTTTATTTAACATTTAGCTGTGTTCATTGAGTTCAAGTGTGTGTGTGGTGAGTTTTTTTTAGTGCATAACCTGTCTGATAACTCTGTGCACGCCACTGGAAACCATATTATGATATTGTGCCGGCTGGAAGTGTTTTGGCTTAAAGGGAGATTGTGTTGCTAGTGTTTAAACTCAACGGTCGGCTAAGGAAGTTCTGGGACTAATTATAGCGCTAATTCGATCGATTCGATTAGGACGATTTTCAGTAAGTTTGAAGCTCTAAGCAGGACGAGATACCGGTTAACTTAAGACTTATCGCCCAAGTGGGAGACCTTAGGAAATTAAGTCATTTCCGTCCGCTAACATACAAACCGTTTCAGTGTCGCCAATCTGCACGGGCGGGGATTGACCTGGCATCGCATAAACCGCTGGCCAGTTCACGGGCCGGCTTCCGCTTAATAGAGGGAGTTAAGCGCGGCGAGTTCCGCCGACGCGGATTTGGTGCGGACATATCGCGCGGGCGCGTCCACTCTACCCGATCTCGGGTTGCGGTAGAAAGTGCGGCCCACGCGAGCCGAGAGGTCACACGCCCACGCGCGGCCGCGTGCGCCCCAGCGCTCCTCTGGCCACGCAAGAAATCGCGCACTGGAGTTTCTAGGCGTTCGATGGTGATGATCGTAAGAGAATCGGAACGGACCATTTCCATTTGTGGGTACCTCTCGGGACATTACATCGCGTTCCCATTTCTACCCCTTCCCGTCGCGGCTGCTTTTTGTTGTTAATGTGTGTATCGATGAAAGTTAGACGCGCACAGCTTAAGTAGTACCATTTTAGCCCGCGTTTGTCTTTTCTTCAGTTTCGATTTTCTTTAATTTTTTTAATGCGAAAAGCTGCCAAACGAGCAGACAGTTCAACTGATGGTAAGTGAATACCGCCGCCCATGGACATCTACTACACCCGGGGGTCACAGATGCGTTGACAACCTTTTGAAAATTGGGCTCCGGCTACCTCACTCACCAAACGAATCGCGAAAGTATTTGTCATACTTCCACTTTACGCTGGTCTTCTGTGAGGTCGCGGTACTTACCCGGACGGGCCTGCCCATTCGTGCAACAGCCAAGGCTGCTACGTGGCCCTACCACCGTAAAAGTACTTATTAGTATCCTTCAATCGCTATTCACGTTTAGCTAATCTTGTCAGGTGGAGAAACATGAAACGTCCAGTCAGGTCCGAAAACGGTGCATGGAATTTTGACACTAAACGCGACCTCCCGGCCATAAGGCCTCTCTTTCGATCGGCCAAAGACGCCTCAGAACTAAACGACTGGGTCCATTTGCAACCACCAACGCCGCGGGTCATCCGCCCACGTGCCGCAACCGATAAACGTCCTCCTCTCACGAGACGATACCGCTTAATTGATGACCGTTGCGAAAGGCGGGTGGGCGACATTGATTGCGTCTATCTTCCGAGTTCAAGATTCCTGTGTATATTCTATGAGGCACTCGATGGCGCCATTGCTAAGCTATTGGATTCGGCGTCGGGGGTTGCGAGTTCGATTCCCACACGGGACAAGTACTTGTGTGACCCACAGATAATTGTTCTGGATCTGGGTGTTTGTTTTCCTAGGAGGGTTGATGCCAGGCATGCGGCCAGTCGTAAGAAATATAGCCAAAACCGCTTACCACATGATTCCCATGTTGTGTCGACCCCATCTAGAGATAAGAGCAGGAGGATGATGATAATGATAATTCTATGATACACAGTGTTTTAATTAGTCAATGACCTGGTTAAATAAAATTATTTTCTGAGATACAGCAAAAGTTTCTTGCAGATATAAACATGGTCCAATCTATGGCATTAAGGAAAAGTAAAGTAATCGTTACACTGCTTCAAAAGGGCTTAGAAAAACTGTGGTTCTGTTCAATAAATCTAAACGGAACCAATGCGTAATATAACGAAGGTTTATCTGGAAACTTATCAGAGTCATCTGAGAATCACAACGGAATCTGATATGGAGAGTCATGTACACTTCGACCGCACTTCGATCTAGTGGGTTAAAAAAAACGCTGAATCAGATTATGTCAGTAGGCAAAGTATCATGCAAGCAATTCTTAAGGCAAACGTTTAGAACTACGAAAATAAGTCTAATAATTATCCAAATAAAGGAACCAATATCTTCCAGGAAAGTGCATTTTTTGTGGATAAAAAATATTGTCATTGTTTAAAAAAAACATTTATGAATTGCTTCATTTTAGAAACATACTATCGCCTTTATAAGAAGTGATTAAAGATCTCGACGACCTCGTTTTCGAATAGCCCCATTATACGAACAAAAGTCGATACAAACAATCGAATAAACCATTAAATATGCGACGAATCTCTCCACTACAAAGCAGTTCTTCACATCGGCTGGGGCCAGACTCGAACCTGCGAGTTCATTAACAATGCCAACGTCATAACGCCCACCTCTGACCCGACGACGTAACTCTTGCTCCCTCGCCACATGTTTGTGGACCACTGCTTCATTATAATCTGTGGTAGGGCCACGCAAGTGTTCGCTGTTGCACGAATGGGCAGGTCCGTCCGGATAAGTACCACGACCTCACAGAAGACCGGCGTAAAGTGGAAGTGTTACACTTCTGCGTTTCGTCTGGTGTAGTGAGGTAGCCTGAGCGGCTTTATTAAAAGGTGGCAACGCATCTACAGTCCTACGGGTTTTGCAAATGTCCATGGGCGGCGGTTATCTCTTAACATCAGGTGATCCGCCGGCTCGTTTGCCACTTTCTCAAGGAAAAATTTCAACGTTGAATTCGCACGACCACACTACATATTAGTGTGGAAGTGCAGCCGCGGTCTACACATATCTTCGAAATATATTTCTTTATCATTATTTCGAAAACATGCCGGTTTTCTCGCGATGTTTTCCTTCATGTGATATAACATCACTAAAAATTAACACTTTCATTCGAGTATACTCGAATATTGAATTAAGGGCGATCACTTGGACTCAAGGCACACATTTAAACCTGTAATTGCGATAGAAACTAGACAAGCTGTTTATGTTATTATTTAAAAGTACATATTGAAACAATTAACTTCCAGAAAATCTCACGTAAGAGGTTGATTGGTAGCGAATGTCTACACATGACTTGAAATATTTTGGTTTGCAAAGAACAAATAAAAAAATATAGTAGAATCCATTAGCACGAGTTCTTAGTTCAAATGTTATACGTCCAAAAAGATAATCAGATTTTAGATTTCTCCAATCCTATTTTATGTCTTTGACCGGATAGTTTTTAGAAATCAAAAAGACCATTGTTGAATATTGGAAAGGCGTAAAAAGATCGATAAAAACAGTTGGAATACATAAAATCGAGCGTCTTAAACGCAGACGTAATTACAATAAATTCGGATCGACAATATGGGTGATAAATTAGGCGCCAACCGAACACCTGTTTAATGAGTTTATCGAATGTTGCGAAATTTATGAACGTTCGGCGGTGCGGGGAAACCGGTCTCGAAACCACAGACGTCGCATTTAGTAGACAACGTATTTTTTTGAAATACATTCGCACATTGACATTCTGTATTGATTCTTTTAATTTGTTTATCTGTATACATATTCGAAGCATTTGATTATCTTATCCGACCACCTTCGTTAATGCAGTGGCGAGAGATTCGATGAATGTTTCGGCGAATGATTTCGCCGAAACATTCATTTACTCAAAAAATTTACGATAGCGGCAACATTTCAATGCAGATTAAAGAAAATTTCCGACTAAACAGTCAGGAAAGTTAAACACGAGGAACCCACCGTAACTCAGCGTATTTGAAAATCCATAAACACATCACAGTGTCTTCTTAATTTTTGTTGTGACGATTCACGTCCTCATCGAGCCTAGTAATAGATTTTTTTTTTAATTTCATCACACTTTTCACACGTGTACATACATATAAATGTATTTAAACATGTTTTGTGTGCTTCTAAGAATGAAATACAACCTCTTATAACTCAAACATTAACGGACATAACTATAAAGAGCCGTATTTCATTAACATCCAGAGTAAGCCCAATAATAATATTAGTACCGTCAGGTGTCCACACTCAGTGGTCCAAAGACTAGTAAAGACCAAGAAAGAACCGGCGAGAATCATTCTATATTAGATTTAACAGCTTCAGCTGGATACCAGGCACCAAGATCGATTAGCTCGCCTATCTTGTATTAACTGATGTTTGTGCTTTCAGTCCAGAGACTATTAAAGCTTCATCTGACGCAGAAGCTCGCGTATCGCGACAGGGTAGCGTCATCGTAGGGTTTCATTGAGAAAAAAAAAGTCGTAGCTAATGAATGGAGGCGGTTTATGCAAACGTCAGCGGCGCTCCATTGACTGGTTCGTGGGGAGTAACGGTGAACTCAAGACTGGTTGGTTGCTCGTGTTTTTGAACGTGACGGCGGCGAAAGGCGATGCGGCCGTAGATTTGGGAGTGAAATACTGTTTTATCTCTCTGATGATGAGTCTTTATAAACCTTTTCATTATTTCACATATTTGTGAAGCGTTTTTAACGATAAAAATGCTATCCATCAGTGACGAAAAACTTGTTATATGAATTATACTTATTAATTCAAAAATTCTAAATAAATTATACGTATCAATATTCAATGTTATCGTTTTTTCGTCTATTGAAGACGATTTTTACAATGTCAACTAAGTATGTCAAAGGCACCATAGTATCCATTAGGTAAATACAACCAAGTACAACCAATTAAATTATGACGTTGTATACAACGTCGCGATTTAATAATAGTAATTTATTACGAACTGTGTTTAATTACGCCCCGATTGGGATCCGAAAAGGATACATATGGAAATTATTAGAATGCAGTTGAAACTTAAGTTAAATTTTAGTCTTATTTAGGCACGCGGCTAAAGCAGGTATCCAATTTAAAAAGAGGTGCGCCCGACACCATTACCGCACACCGCTTAATAGAATCAGTTAATTATAATGAGTGTCGTGAATACGCCGTGTTAAGTGACGTAAGAATTAGTTCGATGACGTAAGCAACATTTTCTAGATAACTTTGAAAAAATGGCGCCCACACTATGATTCTCGACAATATTTCAGTCAGTACTATGTGGTCTATTTTTAGGGCTCCGTATCCAATGGCAAAAACGGACCCTATTACTAAGACTCCGCTGTCTGCCTGTCCGTTTGTCACCAGGCCAAATCTTATGAACCGTGATAGTTAAACAGTTGAAATTTTCACTGATGATGTATTACTGTTACCGCCATAACAACAAATACTGACATAATAAACATAATAAACATAATAAAAAACATTTAAGTGCGGCTCCCATACAACAGACATGATTTTTTACCGTTTTTATAGATAAGTACGGTACCTTTTGTGCGCGAGTCCGACTCGCACTTGGCCGGTTTTTTAAATGTGGTATCAATTTCTAATTTTTTTAACTGACACAGTTAAACATAATTTATTCGTAATGATCTGTGCGCAAGTATATCGCTTCGAAACTAAACTAAGTTGAGTGCTGTTTTTGGACAAATCATAATTACTTGCAGTTGTCAAACAAGTGGAGGATGCAATATAAATCTTTTCATTAACCAATTAAGATTTTAAGTTTAATTTGGTTATTATATTATTACCCGGTAATTGTTATTGCTCTCTTGTTATTAAATAAAAATAAGTTTTTCTTTCTTTATCTTTTCAAAAACCAATCGACCAGAGTCGCTCTAAAGTAAAATGTAAAGTATCATCAGCCTATACATGACCCATTGCTGGACAAAGGCCTCCTCTGTGCAGAGGGTATCAGGGCATAGTCCACCACGCGGCCCCACTGTGGACTTCACATATCTTCGAAATTTTTTTTTTATAATTATTTCAAAAATGTGCAGGTTTCTTCACAATGTTTTCCTCCACCGAGCTGAGCACGCGATTCGGCAATTCGGCACTCAAAATTAACAATTTCATAGGGGGACCGGCACCGGGGATCGAACTCGGGTTGCTCGAGTATATTGAATGAAAAGCGAGCCCCCGGACATCGAGCTATCATGACTCTTGAGTCAGTCTACCAACGAGGGAATCCCCATTTAAAACACACGTGCGATCCCTGGTGAATTTTCATCATTAACCTCTATATGAATTAAACGGACAACATTCACGCAAGGTATAAAAATCGCGCTGGTGACATAATAATTAGAATAATGAAAAGTGGATAGACAGCACCTTCTACGCTCGTCTTTTTAAGAACCGTGAGAACTCATACACTAACGGAAGTTTCAAGTTTTTATGAAGGCGCTCGGTTTCCGGCTATATCTTTGGTGTAACGAGAACGAATATACGTTTTGATATTATCTTATTTCAGATTGGCACCTACGTAGACCTACTTTTGCGTTTCGTCTGGTTAGTAAGGTAACCCGGTACATACCCGCTCTTTTAAAGGTTAGCATTGCATCCACATCTGCAACTAGTCTCGTTGACGTTCACGGCCGGCGGTAGTCACTCAACACCAGCTGAATTAATCGCACAAAAAATCATACGAATATTGTATGACCTAAGTATGGAGATCCTGGAAGGTTCTTGCCTTATTTTCGATGTAAATTGGCAAACTGTTACGGGAGTCTTTCAACTCCTACAAACTGCATCGAGTGAACCAAGCCCTTTAGAGGAATCCTGAGGTAAAACCATTGTGGCCAGCAATAGGTCATACAGCAAAGACCTATTGCTGTACCGTAACGAAGATCAATATTGATGTCATTGTTTAATGACCTATGGCTATTCGGTCGACATATCTATGTGATATGTCGTCCGAATAGAAATAATTTTCTTTATTCTTTTCTTTGTTTTTGTGTTGCAAGGTCGTTTTACAAACACAAAATTCACACGGACAAACACCCAGTCACGATTCCTCACGTCCGTATCACGCACACTATCATGTCGCAACTTGTCCACCAAACGAGGGGCCACGCGTCCCCGAACCAGTTTCGTATCGACGCTCCGAAATCTATCTCCGGACGTTGGACCGTTCATTCACAACTAATTATAATGATGAAGTCGGCCATCGCCAGTCGAGAAGTTGTCTGGCGTGAGCGGAGGTTAATGTCGTTGATGTCGAAAATGGCGCATGAGATGATTCTGGTGGTAATCAAACAGTTACAAGCAATTAAACATGAAAGAAAGTTAAGTAAGATAATTATGTATTTAATTCCAAAAAAAAAAAACGTACGTTTAAATATGTTTATCGCTTAACATTTTTTTTTATGCAAAAAAGTGTCAAAGGAGCTAGCGGTTCGCCTGATGTTAAGTAATAACCGCCGTCCATGAACATTTGCAACACCTGTCGGGATGCAAATGCGTTGCTACCTTTAAGTAAATTGGGCCCCGGCTATCTCACTGACCAGACGAAACGCAGAAGTGTAACACTTCTACTTTACGCCGGTCTTCTGTGAGGTCGTGGTCCTTACCCGGACGGACCTGCCCATCCATGCAACAGTGGAAACGGTTGCGTGGCCCTACCACAGTTAAACTGGTAAGCCTAGTGTAGTATGAGACTAGATAACGTTGTTAAAAATGTATTATTATTAACGAACCGGAGGTGTATGATGTAGTCTCAACCACACGCTCCAATCAACAAATAATCGAAGTCTACCGCATTCATATCGTTATCAGGAACCCAATAAAACGAAACTGACAATCTGTGAACAGATGAACGTTTTGATTAAACCATAACATGGTAGTCTCAAACGGGTAGAAATAGATAACTCATTCCGCCCACGTAACATGATGCCCCGGGATTCACATCACCCCAAATTACCGGTACGTCACCTAGATAAAGTCGGACATTCCGCGCGCGCAACGCGGATCCAAAGAGTCTAGATCTTCCTTGCATCGGTTGACAACGCCTCGTGTAAAAATAAAAATCACCTAGATCCGCGGCGGGCGATCGAGACAAAACAAAGGCCGCCGGCGGCCAACCGGAGACATAACAGAGCTCGTACATTACAGACATCGATATAGAAATGACTTCATAATTTCTCCACGGGCGCGCACACACGCGGGCGGAGGAGCGTGTAGGCACACGCGCACACACGCGCGCGCTTCCGGCCGCATCTGTGAATGACACGTACGCATGTTTACTACCGCACCGACTGTCGATCATTTGTGCGCGGACTTGCGTCATCGGTGCGGTGTCCCCGCGTGCGGCATAGAGGTGGAAATTAATATGATAGTACTAGCTGGCCCGGCAAACGTTGTTTTGCCATACAAATTATTTGTAGGGTAGAAAAAAATGTTTGTGGTGGACCACCCGACAAATAGATGTTGTCCGATTCTAAACCCTGGCCGATATGCACACAAAATTTTACGAAAATCGGTCGAGCCGTTTCGGAGGAGTTCATTGCTTCAAATGCTAAATAACAATGTAGATAAAAGACGTTAAGATTTTCGTCGGTGTGGCAATCAGCCGTTTAGCTTAGTGGCTAAAGCGTCAGGCCACGAATGCCGAAGACGTGGGTTCGATTCCCACAGCGGCTACAATCTTTTCGTACTTTTTCTACAAGTTTTACCTCTCATTTACTTTTCTAATAATTTTTCCATCTACGAACAAAAATTCTACAAATTGATCATTGCATACTATAAACTAGGCTGTGAGGTCCATTATATTTTAAATTATTATATTTTAGTTTATTTTTACAATAATTTAGACACGGAGATGGCCGAAGAAACTCGCTTTAGAATTGCGGATGTCAATAAGCAACGATAATAGCATGCCATTAGGTTCTTTGCTAGCTCATTTGAAGTCGGCTGTTGTTAGTCGTCCGCTAAACGGAATCTATCTTATTCATCCGTTTAGCAGATGACTAGGCACTTTGCTTAAGCATATCGCCAAACGCATGGACACACTATATTCCATGGTTACTGCGGCAACCAGCGCCGTACGCTTTTGCCAACGGTGCGCGCGTCTGCAGACAGACTACGGCGGCGTATATTGCGAAACCAGTCTCGGTCTATTTTCGACGATTTTACATCATTTACTTAATGATTCAATGGCAGATCTTTAAATAATCTACAGTCAATAAAAATAAAATTTTATATTTTTGGCAGAGTAGTATTAACCAGTTATCCAATAAAACAACGGTTATTAATCTCCCAAGTTAAATAACGCATGATGTATATACACCCACACACACTTTTCTAATGAAATAGAATATATTGTATTTGGCAAATTGTAATTAGTTTATAGTGGGTACATATTAAAACGAGAAGGCCGACCTGATGGCCTAAAATACAGGCTTTGCTTACTTTAGGCATCAGTCTTCCCATATTGCTTTGTAGCTCAAATTAAGTTGTTTATTCTATAAATTGTAAAAACCGATGTGGTTGCGACATTAAGTTTAATTATTTTTATATTATTATTATAAAGATATATCTCGGGAAATTAATCTTTAAACTATCTGGTCAGGTGATAACGTATATCATTAATGTTCATCAAATAACGAAACAAATTAACTAATCAAAGAAATATGTTTATATATCAATCATACTAGATCTATCTAGGGGTAAGAAAATAATAAAATAAGATCGATATGATAACGCATATCTTATTCCTCTTAATTTTTCTAACATCTCATTGCGCCAGCTCAATTTATAAAATACTTTAATTTTTGTTTTAAAATTTATCTTAGAGAAGTATTGAAATGCAATTGCAAAACTCAATGAGTCCAGTTTCGCCAATAAACTGTATTCTCAATTTAGCGAACTTAAATTTTTTTTAAAAAATTGTATTTACTCTGTTAATAAATAAATTGAAAAAATATATATATCATACCACGAAGTACTAATGCGTCTACCCTAGCCGCTAGCCGAAGTGTCACAGTCAGAACTCATGTTAAAGTTGTGTCCACCAAAGTGTGAATTCATCCAAACCGTACACGAAGGATATGTCCATCGCAATATTGTCACCCTATCGCCGAACACCGCCAATGGAACACCACCGACACGCGACGTCTTGAGGCCGTAGATAAAATAGGACGCACTCGCGCCTCGCTCGATGCGAAAACAGTTATTCTTGTGTTTTGCATTTACTTTAGCTTTCGACGAATGAATGGAGCACATACATACTTCAATATATTAGGAAAGCTTTGGAAAACTTTGGTTCGTAAGAAGTTAAATTAAAAAAGCACAAACGATTAGTCTTAGAACACAGATTAACAAGATGATTAAATATTTGTAGTGTATAAATAATATGTATAAATAAATTATCATTGAAAGATTAAGATATAAGAAGAGGTAGTATCAAAACATTTAGTAAGATAAAGCGTATTATAAAAAACAAAAACCAATTTTAACGTGGAAAGTTGTCAAGCGAGCAGGCGATTTACCTCATGTAAAGTGAATATCGCGGCCCATGACTGAGGCTTTCTCCTCTTTCTTCCCGTTTCTGTTTTCTTCCCGTGGTACTTCCCCGGACGAGTCTGTCCATTCGTGCAATAGCAGAAGCTGTTGCATGGCATGGCCCTACCACAGTTTGCAGATAAGGTACGGTTCCGTTTCAACGGAACCATGCGAGTGCTCGATCCAATAAGGTGTTAGATGCAAAGACCTATCCAAACGAACGATTATAACGCAGACTAGCTTTCTCAAAGTTTTGCCATTCCGTCTGAATATACCACGATCGTGATCAATGCAGATGTGTTTTTTTATATTAATAGTTGGCAAACGACCAGACGGCCCCACACCTGACGGGGATGCGGATCTATTACAGCACACACAGAAATACTCGGAATGCTACTCGGAAACGGCAATACAGGTTAACTTAAACAGGTCATGACGACTAAATGCAACATGAAGCTCAACTTGGTTCCTCTCGAAAAATCCCGACTGACTACATTGGGCCATTGGGTAATGTGTAAAAAGCTTAAACATTCAACTGAGCTTAGCGATTCTAGGATGCCGCTAACCGCTCCTAGCGAACCAATAATACAGTCGACGGCCATCGACGTGATGGTCCCCATGCTGGACCTAAACAGCCATCCCCTCCCTACGTTAATGTCGCTGACACGCGCGCGTCAAAATACGTGGCCCTGGGTTCAACTCCCACACGGGACAACTACTTGTGTGACCCACAGATAGTTGTTTCGCATCTGGGTGTAGGTCCGCCCGAAATTTCTTTTTGTAAAACGTCCTTACAACACTGGATAATGTTATCCTAAAGTAAGGCAATGTTTTTTAAACAAAAAAAAAACAGAAAAACAGATCCGGCAAGTTGCGGACTACCATCATGAGCCAGCGCCCCTAGACCGAGATGAGCCAGCACCCTTAAGCCGCGATGAGCCAGCTGGCTTGTCTCTGCGCTCTAGCATCGCGCCGGGCCGTCTCGCGGGGCGCACCCGATTTAGACGCGCTGCAAGTGACGTGTCATTGCACCGAGAATAAGGCGGGACGGGTTCCGCTGCACCGCTATTTTGAGAAACATTCACGAGTTTAGCGCACCCGGCGATGGAGGACAAACTCAACTAACAAATGAGGAGAATGCCTATAACGGTAGACAGGCTCGAACAGCTCTTTAATATTAGATAGAACCAACAAGTCAATCATTAAATACCACAGGCCTCATTGAAGGCAGATGATATGTAGATGGTTTTATACTTTGCCTTTCGCCTGGCGAGTAATATAAACTGGATTTACCAAAAATGGTTGGCAATGCAACTGCGACCCTACGGATTTGGTGAATGTCCATGAGCCGCGGTAATAATTTAATATCAGATTTAACTGATAAGCTCTGTAAAGCTCTCTCGTAAGATCATTTTCGGACACTTAGTTGATGGAAGCTAAGATAATTGAATAAAAATTTTAATTTTAGGACTGACTGAAATAAGAACTGATTAGCTATCATAATATTTTTTCTGGCGAGATGAGATAAAGTACGTTTATTGCTTTCAACTAAATACGGTTGACTGAGCACTATCTAAAGAGATAAGTTAAATAATGAAATAAAGACTTAGGCATGAATCACTGCCGCGTCCGGAAGTAAATTTAAGACTCGCTTAAATCTTGCCATATTGGTACCGAATTGTTCGGTTTGATTTCCCATTTCCGTATAGAAAATAAACAAGGTCGTTCGTTGTTTTATGTGTTTTTCACCTTGTAGTGCGAAAGTTCTGCTAGTATCATCGAAACCTATCAATAATTCACTAATCCTTCTCACGTCTAATAATCTCAAACATATGTTTCGTACCAACAGAATTGTACGCGGCATCTCTCGTCATTTACAGGGAAAAAAGCCATCCTTCCTCGCCCACGGGGCCTTAATGGGATGTATTCAAACGCAACAACTCCTTTCACAGCGGTCCACGTTCCGTGACCGGTACAATGGAGGACCGGCGCAGGTACTAAGTCCATTCGAAATGATCACGAGCTGGTAGCGGGGTAAGGTTCTCGGAAATGCGCGTCCGCAATACAAAGCGACGCGCATCTGGCAGACTCTGTGTCGACGCCGGACAATGGGCGTTCTGTGACACCTTTGCTTTGAAATGGGCGATACTTTCTTAGTATGTCACAAAAGAATGGACAATTTATACCTGTGAGTTGGTGCAACCGAGCGTATCACGTCCATTTAGAATTATCCACTGGCATAGGAGCGGTCTTATGATAATTTAATTATTTCATTTATTACGTAACAAATTAAATCAGCATTGCTTTAAAACATCAAGTGCAGTCGGTAAAGGACATTAAATTTTAACATATTGAATTGAATCTAAGCAATTTGCTAGGGATCATCTAATAATTTAAGTATAACAACGATTTATCTCATTATTCACAAATTAGTTATCGTATTAAATAATAAGAAAAGGGCAAATGTATCAGTACATTAGTTAAACGTTGCGTGTTCAGATTCAGTTTAAACAAATATTGTCTTTAAATAAAACGTTTTCAACTCACTAAAATTTGAAAGCGATGTTCCATTACGCAATCGTACTAATGTTAACATGGAAAAACTCAATAGCAATTCGATAACAATACACGCACACCGAAATTGTCGCGGTGTTTAAAAGAACGTCGGTCGTTAGCATTAATTAGTCGTTTTCCGAAGCTTTTACAATCTATTAACACGCCATCTCGTAGTGAGGGCGCCGTACTAAACGAGGAATCCGGAATGCCGTTTCTATCGCCATATCATGCGTCCGTCATCAACGTCAACTGCTAAGCTTAAAGTACTCTGGTATAAGATCGGCGATAATTGAGATAAGACCTTTATTTATGTCGCCGTGCCCGTTTGTAGCGTCAATGAGGCAACACTGAAGTTTTCCCAAGTCCAATTTCGATACGCTGTGCTATTCTAAAATCGGGAGATCGATCAAATTGTTTCTAGTGCGCCTAACGTACTTTACGATCTTAACGGTAGGATAGTGGATAGGTCGTATTAAAAAAAAGGCCAGTCTCTTTATATATAATGACTAGTTTCTATTGCGGTAGGGCCACGCAAAACTTTCTGCTGTTACACGAACGGGCAGGCTCGTCCCACCACCTCACAGAAGACCGGCGTAATGTGAAAGTGTTATACTTTCGCTTTTCGTCTGGTGAGTGAGGTAAGCGGATGACACTTTTTTAAAGGTTGTCAACGCATCAGCAAGCCATCGGGTGCTGTAGATGTCCATGGGCGGCGGTATTCACTCAACATCGAGTGAACTGCCTGCTCGCTCAACAACTTTTCAAATAAAATAGTGTCATTTGGTGCAGCAAAGAGGATTATCCGGATGATTGATGTACATGTACACACATCTACGTGTATATTTCTAATTTGGATAAATAATTGATTAGATTTGTTTGCGTCGGGACGGTAGGATATGTTGCGTTGCATTATCAGAGATATATTAATTGCAGCGCCTTCGACGACCATCTAGAATGGACTGAATGATTCCTCAAGATCTCGACGAAACGAACACCCAGATCCGGACCATTTATCTGCGGGTCACACAAATACTCGTGCCGTGTGAGAATCGAACCCACGACGCCCAGCGCCGAAGCCAATAGCAACTATATTAGCAACGGCACCACACGTACACAACTGTCTGTTGACTATTAACACGGAATTTACGGATTGTCCGATAGCAAGGCGCATTCCAGCGATAGCTTATCGGGCGAAATTTTCGTACGGCCGCGCGGCGACCCCTCACCTCAGCCGCTAGGCTTATCGCCACGAGCAATGTGTATTTCGAGACACTACTTCAGCCGATGTAAAAGAATAACACAGGATTCACACGTGCCACACGTGAGACACGTATCGCCTAATCTTTTAAAAACTATCATATTGCCGTTGCAGTGCTCATAATATTCAATTTGCTAATCATTTCATAGTAGTGCCTGATAACCACCTACCAAGAGTAGCAACTGCTACGGGCCCCGCGCGAAAGGGGGACCCCGCATATTTGAAACCCAATCATCTCTGTCTGAGCGTAATTTTTTGAGTAAAATTTATTAAGTAAGTAAGAGTATTGATTTTTTTATACATTTTATACTTAAGAACCCATTGCACATCAAAGGCTGTTTGAAAGAATTTGATTAGGGCCCCGCGCTTGCTCGCGTCAAAGGGACTAGGCTAAAAATAACACGAATCGAACTAGATACCGAATCGAAATGGCACATAGCGAAGTGGAGATCTGCATTTATGTTCTTCAAAAACAATCTAACCACGAGGGAAACACAGAGGCGTTGCAAATGTTGCCTCAGTTGATGTTTTTGATCAAAGTGGGGTCTAGCTTGAACGGGGGAAAAACAACAACTGTTCTGTTAACTATTGTTGTATATGTATCACTAACCAATAAGATTTGGTGACTAATTTTCATGGGAGAGTTTCGACCGTGGCGATTTTTTTATGGAAAAAGAGGCAAACGAGCAGGCCGATGGTCGAGTGTTCATCGCCGCTCATAGACACTTGCAACACCAGACGAGTCACAAATCTGGAAATACCGCTGGCGATAACTGATCCCACAACTCGGTTGTGCGTGGCAGAAAGTGACGTGAAGAAAACCGCCCAAGTGCGAGTCGCACTCGCGCACGAAGGGTTCCGTACCATCCGTATCAAGAAAAACGGCAAAAAAAACAAACTTTGTTGTGTGGGAGCCGCACTTAAATATTTTTTTATTCAGTTTTTTTATAGCGGCAACAAAAATACATCATCTCGGAAAATTTCAACTGTCGAACTATCACAATTCATGAGATAAATTCTGGTGACAGACGAACAGACAGACAGCGGAGTCTCGGTAATAGGGTCCCGTTTTACCCTTTGGGTACGGAACCCTAAAACGCCCTGTAGTGGCACGTTAATGGCAAACATCGAGCGACACGACTAACGCTGGCAGCATTAGCGACACCGCGTCTAACGATATCATTCGACGCGGCTCGTCCGACGCTAAATCATTACGGGCGTCCGTGCGTAATTAGAGAGGAGGGCTGTGCAATTATAGTGCCGTTGAACTGACGCGTTCGCGCCGTACGAGCACTCCAAACGTCCGGCCCGCAGATAATTTGAACGTAGTAGTACTCTTTCCGGCCTGTAAATTTGGTACCTGGCGATAGGTATTTGACCATAATACTCGCATCAAAATTATATCTCCAGTAACTGACAGATAGAATATTGAAACCGGCCTTTATAGCTCGATTTGGTCCGTTTCTAGGCTGGTTTTTATATCGTAAAAGTCACTCAGTTACTATATTTCACAAATATATCTGACTTTCTAGAAGAGCAAGCTGGTCACGATCTCAACCTTCATCCATGCAATAGTGGTATTAAAGACGACCTAATTGGCTTAGTGAATAGTACACGAATCTCTTGTGCCAGAGGGTGTGGCGTCGATCCCCACTGCTAGAAAAATGGATAATAATATTAAATATTTAAGTCATTTTTGCACAACGTTCTCTTATCCCAAACTAAGCAACGCTCGTACTATGGGTACTAGATATTCACTTATACATACTTTTCTTTTACACATACGAACACAACACAACATATAAACATCCAGATACTGGAAAAACACCATGTTCATCACAATATTTTTTCCAGTATCCCCACGATCGAACCCACACCCTATGGCGCAAGAGGCAAGTGCACTACCCACTACGCCAATCAGATCGTTAAAATATTGAGTGGTGAACATATTTTTAGTTTCTCGGTGTGTACATAAATAAATAATGTATTTATATACCAAGGAATAGTACGTTTAAGTACGTTTATCATAAGAATATAATGCTAACCTAGTATACATAGTACAAGCTTTGCTTAGTTTAACTAGACTAGATAGCCTTGTGTAAAAATGTTCCCGCAATATTTATTTATTTATTTGCATGCCAAATGCAACGCGACCCGCAATCCTAAAACTCCTGGCGAGTTTGTTTGCTTACAACCGGACACCGTGCGCCGTTGATAACTGATTCTGTCAAAGGAGACGCAAACACGGTACTATTTGTTTAAATAGCGGCTGTGAGTGTGGGAATAATGCGTATACCCCGATTCCCAAAAAGATAAATGAAACATTAAAGCCTGTAGAAAGTGTTTGTACGGACGCTAATGCCAAAGGCACAATGTCACAAACAGATGCTAATTTTAAAAAAGTATCGAAAAGAGTACGAAATTAGGCGTGTTGCATAGGAGCGTATAAAATTACAAACAAAATTTCAGTTCTTTATACTTCTATCTATCACGTAGATATATAAATATACGAGCACTAACACCTAACCGCAGGCAACTTTATCCAAAAACGCAAACGATACTAAAGCAAAACAAACTGCCTCACAAAAAAACTAAGCCTTAACACCACAAAACGATTTCGTAAAACATGGAGGATCTTAAGAACCCCAAGACGTGATAAAAAGTTGCGGAATGAGGAACGGGCGAGAGGTAAGCCGGGTGCTCAAGGCCGATACGACGGGGGGGCGTCTGTGTGCCAATCATCAATTATATTCACACCTCGTTCAGGCGTTTCGAGATCATCTTTGATTATTATGAACTGTTTTTTGACTATTTTTCTCCACAGTCGAGTCTAAGAATTAAACTTCAACAAAAAGTTTTACCGACGTGAATTCTACATGTAATTGAATTATACTATTTTATGGATTTCAACGCGTTTAATTTGTTACCGTTGTTTTTCTGATCCCGTGAACGTGGATGTTACGTGTTGTAAGTGTCGACAGGTTTGGAACTGTTATGAAATTGAAAGTAAATATGACGAATCAGCAGCAAGGCTTTGGGAGCGAAAATTTCGAGACATACCTTTTTATATTATCAACTATGCAACAGGATCGAGAATATCGAAATGTAAGAGTTCATACGAACAATGCTTATGCCCGGAAAAACTCAAGACATGTCCCACCTAGCGTAAGCAAACCTTGTTCTTCATCTGTGCTTTGTAACGCGACAGTTCGTGGAAACAGCGAATGTCGAAAACAGAAGATGCGGCGCGTCCGAACAAAGAGACCGAGGCGAGAACACGGGCGGATCGGCCATTCAAATGTTTAGGCAAAGTCATTGAAGCCTTTTGATAAAAGCCTTTGTTAGAGCGATCTTTTAAAGTGATGGCAAAGAGGAGCGGTACACGTGATGTTAAGAAATACATCGACAATTGACATACCATATAAAGGCACCAACTGCGTCGGTATCAGAGCATTTACACGAACAACTTAACAATAAAGTTACAATTGTACACTAATATGTGGTATTAAACAATAACCAGTGTAAGGATGTTGGTCTATTTTACACTACATTCATACATTAATTACGACCTTAAATTAAGTTTAATCTTGCTTTTTTTGTACTAAAACATCATTGCATCATCAAGCAAACATTGTATTTTGAAAGACGACAAAAGTACTCTCTAAAAAAATCCAAACATAACGTCAGCTGTCATCACCGTCAACTGAATTCGTAAAACAAGCAGCTGCCTTTGCCCCACAGAAGACCGGCGCGGCCGCAAGTGGAAGTATCATACAATCGCGGCTTGATTAATGAAAAAGGTTGCTGGGCTGGTTTTTTCTAATTTCCCTCCCTTTATAGGTTGACAATGAATCTCAAGCCCTTGGGTGTTGTATATCCTTGGGCGGCAGTAAAAATTTAAAAAGTACACTGACAAGGCGTTACTATCCGTCATATCGCTCAGACCGCGAGGCGGTTCCATTCCAATTTCGTTGTTAAACTACTAGAACGAAAACGAAACACGGCCAATATACGGGCGTTTTCGTTGCTCGTCTTTTCCGAACATTCCCGAAAGGACAAATGTAAACGCGCCCGCGGCGGTGTTGACACGCGACCCGACAAATTCCGGCGACGAGAGGTCCTTGTGGCGGCGAGCCTCAAGAAGATTCCCAGGACACCGAGGAAGGGGGACAAAGAGCGAATTCTGCGAACGCGCGACGACGGCTGTAAATCGTGCGACTGTCCTGGTATATCACTTCGCAAACGATTTTGCGACGTTTACGACACGAATCCGACACGGCGGCGGAACAACGTCGCTGGAATAGCTACGGTCTTCGGCTTTAGCAAAAACACATTCGCTGCAAAATTTAGGGAAAAATAATAGAATGTATAAGACATTAAGAAATGTATTCAACCATTCATCTTCACTTTGGGCTTTCATCCATTTTTTTTATATTAAGAATACTATCCATTTTTAAAATAAAACATTGGCCATACTTTAGGATGACATTATCCTGTGCTGTAAGCAATTTTTACATACATAAATTTGACGTGGACAAACATTCAGATCCGAAACAATTATTATCTGCGAGTCACACAAATAGTTGTCCGGTGTCGGAATCGAACACACAACCTCCGGCACCGAAGCCTTGGCATCTGCACCATCATAGCTGGCGTAGACAATAGCAAACAGGAAGGAATTGTATGGAAATGAAACTGAACTAGACATTTCCATATAAAAGCTCGATCAAAACGACTTCACGATACGGACGGCTCGGGGGTCCAATGAAGCGTCAAGTTCACCGCACCGTGGAGACTTCGCCAACATTGTCTGTACAGATCCTGACATGCTCTATCGACTGCGCTTCCGAGCGGATCGTCTGCGAGCGAGGAACCAGCACGGGGCTAGTCAACTAATTCTTCGACCTAGACCTCTCACGACCGATCTCAGAAATATCAATAGGCGCTTACTATCAATGACTTGAGTTGAGTCCTATTTATTAGTAACGACTGCCCCTGCGTATTATAACGCACGTAGCCAATCATATAGTTTTCTCCGCGAACAATATTTTTTTTTCCCCCATCTTTGAAGAATCATCGCCACGTTTCAGCCAATTTACAATAAACATTAATGAATTATACTTCTAAACATTGCTTGGGTGAAAACCATCTGAAAATCGCTTTAGTTTTGCTCGAGATTATCTTGTCCTAACAAACAAACGCGGCGGAAGGAATTTGTTACCCGTTTGCCGAAGGAGGGTAATATTATGAATCCTACAACCTAAACCTTGTAACGGATTTTAACATATGAGGTTTCATTAAATTGCTCTCAGGGACATAGGGTATATTATCTCCATCTTAATTTGGTGTCCGCGAAAAAACGTAAAAGCAAGTGTTAGTAATTTTGAAACGTTATTTGTGTTTAAAATCCTCGTCAAATAAAAACGAATACCATAACACCCAACAGCTTAGACTAACCTTAAACATTTGTCATTGTCGCCTTCGGAGATCGCAATTTATTTATTACATAACTGGATGAACATAAACACAAGCGTCGAGTTCGAGGCTTAGTCAAGATGGAGTTACTAGGCATGTCTCGCATGTACATGGTAATACGGCACTGTTGATTAACCACAACATGGACACCCAACGAGGGGGTAACCAGGCAGGTTCGATGACACGTCACGTCACGGTTTTCACGGAGGCCGCAGACTAAACAGACGGATGGGCCGGGTCAATGGAACCACGCCACGCTTCGTGGCCTGCGCCGCGGAGCATAGCGTCAAGAGACGTCTGCCGCTCGACGGTCAGGTCTATAGTCGGTACCGGTCGCGAAACGATTCTACAGGGAAGCACGTACTTAGTAATGCTTAAGCTATTTATTGACTTCAACATCAGGTTCCATCGGTGTTGATTACTGCAAAAATGGGGATGGTTTGACATCACATATTTCGCTTTAGTATCTTAATCATTCGTTATTGTGATGTCATCGTTAACAATATATTCACGACGCACTTCTAGTCTGATTTCACTAAATAATATTTTGGTAAGGCAGGCACAATTTTGACGGAGATGATTTCTGTTCATTAAGTTTTGTTTGTAATTATGAAGTTGTAAAATATGAAATAATAATGATAAGACATGTGAAAATTTTCACATGAGGATAATATAAAATAAATGGCCCCAAATTCAAAGTGAACGACACAGAACCAGGTTGTGTTGCAGGGTTAGGGAATCGTCTAAAGGTACATATGGCCGATGACAATGTTAACAACGTCCAGGTAAGCGCGTCGACAATAATTACGTCCATATAGAGAGGGGCGCGTTGGACATTACGGACGCGCTCTCGAGATAAATTGACAGCTTCCACCGTATATGGGCAACGTGTCGGTATCGTCCCAGCTTACATGAAACCAGTGGACCTCCCCCGGCTAAGTCCAGCCGCGCAATTCCCAAGGGAACCGTCCAGTTAAACGATCATATTAGGTTTAATATTTAAGCCCAAGTTCGTACGTAGTATGAAATAATTTACATTGTTGTTAATATTTACAATTTTTTTTACATTTATATAAGTTAACTTACAGTATTTTTCTATAAATTTTTTTTTGATAATTTATCGATACGATATTGTTCCCATTTAAAACTAAATAACGAAATCGTAATATGGTAGTTTTGTATGATATAATGCTGAGGTCATGTTTGTGTTGTTCAAAGCTCTTATACGATAGCAGCCAAAGATACTACTGACATTACAACTACTGACTTGAATTTATAAAGTACTGATCTTAATAAAGCCTCCAGCTAAATCAATATTCATATTATCTGAAGATAGATTTTTTTTATGTTAAAAGCGTGCAATCAACCGGTATATCTGATGCTGAGTGATTACCGCGGTCTACCGACGTCTACAACACCTGAGGGCTTGCAGATGCTTTGACAACTTTTTAAAAGTTACCGGTTACCTCACTCACCAGACGAAACACGAAAGTGTAATACTTCCACTCCAAGCTTTTCCCCTGTGGGGCTGTGGCAGTGACGAGCCTGCCCATTCGTGCAACAGCCGAAGCCGACCGCGGTGCTATAAAGCAGTAATTCTATACGATGTACCCGAATTACTTAATAACGGCCTCATCGAGACATAAAACGCTACGCGCTCCAGGCTAATGGACCTAGCTTCCGCGTGAAGAAAGTCAACGTCCGAGTGAGCGAAGGTACAGCACAGCAGGCGGCCGTACTCGCAAATATGCGTCTCGTTAACCATCGCACCCGAAATCCGGGATGAGAGCGCCGCACAGGGTTGGCAATGATCGACTCACTACAATATTTATTAGAATTAGCGGGCAGGGCGCCAAAATATCGAATCACTCCAATTGTAAGAAAATCAGTATGTACAAAAAAAATTCAACCAATAACTCGTATATTGAAACGCTACTGTTTGCGATTCTTTTTATTTGGCAACTCAGTGCAATATTTCTAGGAAAATATTTTTCATTTTTTGGATCCTTTACGCATATATACGTCACTGGCATCACAAGGCAAAATTACTTAAACGCCAAATTAGATATTTATAAATATATGTGTTAACCGCCGCTAACATTTGCAACTCCCGTCGAGCTGTAGATGCGTTGCCACCTTTTAATAAAGTGGGCCCCGGCTACCTCACTCACCGGACGAGACGCAGAAATGTATTACTTTCACTTCACGCCGGTCTTCTGTGAGGTAGTGGTACTTACCCGGACGGACCTGCCCATTCATGCAACAGAGAAGATTATTGCGTGGCCCGAACGAAGTTATTTCATCGTTCATAAGCCTTCCGGCCCTGTATATTATATATTAGTTGTGTCCAGATTAATTAGTAAAAACAAAGTAATTAATACAAAAAATCAATTTATTAAATAGCGCGCTGAGCATTGTGGCAGTGACAGCCCTACGTTCGCGTCGTACGCGATGGGAATTGCGTCGCGAAACGGTATCAAAACAAAACCGGATACACAATCTGCGCTAAAAATCTCTCTCCTTTTGTAAACGTGTTTCGAATTAAGTGCGCACACACGCGTCGGTTCGTGTGTAAGCAGCTTTATTCTCGTAATGTGAGAAGTTGGCATGGGAGCTGGCGCGTTCGATGTTAATTAATCACCGCCGCCCGTGGATTGATGGATTCTCCAATTTAAATCGTCAGAAAACCAGTGGTGTTACAGATGATGACAGATAAGGTGGCATTCGACTGTAGGTGAAAATTTAACGTTTCAAAGTGAAAGTGAAAATATTCATTAAATTTACTCTCGTGTAAAGAACTTAAGAAAGTGAAAAATCTACCTACCGCTTCACAATTTTATAGATCAATAAAGAGAGGAATCCACAAGAAACTGTGTCTGTTATGGGTTCCTCACTTGAGTGGTCTAAAGTTATCATTTATCTGTCTTTTATTTATCATTTTCCGTATTCTAGTATTTAATATTGATATAATTTTCTTTAACATTTTCTAATACCTTCATTCTTGTTTCCTTTCTTGTTCCTGGCATGACATATAATTGTATCCAGGGACCTGATTTCATTGGACACACAGTGATGCGTTCCAACGGGTTACAATGTAGCGCAAACGCACCATTGTATCCTTTTATAAAAATACAATGAACAAATCGTAACCGTAGATCCATTGAAGAGGATCGTGCAGTGGGCCTCGGCGAAACGGAGTAGCGACATCGGTTTAATTGCGTAACGCGATTACGCCCGTGCAGTTTATTAGAGCTAATCTGGGCGATGCGCTCTTTAGCCCCGTTTTATGCGATACTTCATTGGAGCCCCACTGGGCTTCGCGATGGGTTCAACATCTGGTTTGTACAATAAAAACTATTTGTGTAAGGAGGATGGTCGAGCTGGCAGGTAGTTCACCTGTAAGCAGGCACCCAACCGACTAGCTAGAGGGACAGCCAAAGCATAATGCTGTCAATTTACTTGCCGGAGAAAAGTTCCGTGGTATTGTCTGCCGCGGTTATATCCTGAGCGGAGACATTTTTGGTGCATAGCATTTTTACAATCCTAGTGTCGCTCAAAGTGTAATACTTCCAGGTTACTCTATGAAACTCGAGAAAATTCTACAAAAATATCTACATACATAAGGTAGGTGTGCGTAGCTCGAAGCCATACTCACACAACTGCGGCGTAGTCGTAAGAATTGTATACATACCTGAAATGGAAAAAATAAATTTATTACAACATTGCAATGATTTAACAGAGGGGAAAATTTGCACAAGACTAAATTTCCTTAAAATAAGAAAAAGACTTATGCTACTATCATAATGATAATGTATAATTGTAAAGGGTAATAATATAGTACAGCAAGAAATACGAAGTAAAAATACAGATTCTATTACAGATTCTATTACTCAAGATAATCCAGCATCACGCTGCCGCCGGGGCGAGTTCAAAAAAGTTCCAAAGACAATGAACAATCCACACGACTTTAGTCCGCCGTACATACCAAAAAGCACACGCAAAGTGCAGCTCATAAAGTGTAAAATCGTGTTGCAGGCGCTCAACTGCGTACAAGTCGTGTCCCCTTAATTTAAATTACAAATTCAAACTAGTAAACAACATTCATATTTTTTTTTACGTTTTACTATTACCTACAGTACTTTGTACAAACATGATTAAATTAAATATTAACAGAAATCAATAGAAAATAATTCGAGGGCAAGGGTCCTCCACTCCTTCGTAGCCCCGAGGCCTCCAGACCTCTAAATCGGGCCCTGTCCCTTAATGCCAAATACGTGTCGGGCATCGGGGGGCCTTAAATGGGAGACAAAGGGGCGAAGGGCCGGCTCAAACGGGCCCGCCTAGAGAGATCACGTCCGGATAAGGGGACAGTCTGCGGCCACGTTGCGACTCAGCAAACAAGCGGACGTAGAGACATGTTTGCGCAACCCTCGGCTCTGGCCGCGGCAAATATTTGAGAGCAATTTGAAGCCGCAACGCCCGGCGCGCCTCAATTAGCCGCGCCTTTGGACCAGTGAGGTGATCTCTCAATATGTATATAGCCACGTATCTGCTTAAACTCATATCTTTATCGCGTTTTCCTCTTTCACGTTGTAGTAACCATGTTTCCAACAATGCTACGAGTTACTAACCTGACCAAAAAGCTGTACTAATACATATGTAGTAAAAGCTAAGTATTCGACTAACATTAGGAAAGAGAATTGTTTTGAAGATTTGTAATCGAATAGTTTCTCAACCCAGTCTATTACGAGAACGAGTGATAATCGTACATATGTACATCATACGTTAAACGCTACAGCATTAGTCAATTCTTTGTAGGCAATAATTACATTGGAGATAAACTTTACCCAAACCGAATGTTGTCTTGTCGACATTAAAAGATTCCGCTGAATATGTGATCGTTATAATTCTAAAACAAAATTTAATCCCGTGATGAACGATAACACAACCACTGATAATACCAAATCCACCACAACATATTGACTCTATACACATAAATCGATACCGAGAAACAAAACCGTAGGATATTGTTCGTGTGGCGAACACAAAGGGTGCCGGCCGACAATAACTAAAGGTAACGATATTGCGTATGTCAATGGTTCGACATCGAGAGGCGAAGCACGCGCAGATGGCCGTTGCATCTAGAATGTCTAGGGTTGCCAGAACTTTCGTGAATGGATCACGCACAAACATTTGTTTACTACCGAAAAACAAACCGTTTCATATCTCGCTCTGTGTTCATTTTATAATTGATATTGAGGAGTTCCCTAAGTATCTCCGGAGTCCAAGAACCAATACCAATGAAATTGTAAATGAAAAAAAAAAAAGTAAGAACTTTCATATAATAGGTACGCAACCACGGCCTCACATAAGACCGGCGTAAAGTGGCAGTACAATACTTTTGCATTTCGTCTGGTGGGATAACCGGGACCTACTTATTTTAAATGTTGTCAACGCATCTGCAACCTCCCGGTTTTGTACATGTCCATGGGTGGCGGAAATCATTCACCATCGGGTTAACCACCTGACCGCTGGACAACAAAAAACATAACAGGTACAAATGTTAAAATTTCAATCGCCTACTAATAACACAATACAGAACAACTAGACTATTCTTTAAATACAGTTTAAGCCCTTATGTGAATTTAATCTACAAAATTGCTCTTGATTGCAATGAGAATTATTTAGTATGCGAATGCTTGACTTATACTAAAGGTACTTTTAATTTTTTAATCAAGTGTTAATTAAACAAATACATGCACTTCTATTTGTGAATAAAACTTGATTAAAAAATTAAAAAAAAATATGAAATGTCCTAATAAAATTTTAATGAAAAAAGACTGGACTAAATTAGGCCCATTCTTTTTTCGCTTGCAACGGGGCATCATTGAACGTAACGACACTTAGTTTATTGATGATTTTAATTTATTTTGTTTTATATATACATCAACTAAGGAGGACACAGGGACGGTGGCAACCACAAAATATCCTTGAAAAGCCCTGCTCGGGCCTTCACGTGAAACGTGCTTGTTCCTAATTCCGACCGGAAAGGATCACGTGCTTCGTTAAAACCCACCTTACGTTTGTCTTCTAATAATAATCACTCATCGAGATGAGTGACAAAAACGTCGATTTGATTATGAAATGTATTTATTTATTTATTCATCGGTGATCCAACATCATTAAGGATTCCATAAGTTACGCCATTGTATAGTACACTGTGTGTTCCAATTAAGAATGACAAAAACAAATAAAGCCAAATGAAGCAAAGTGGAATGAAACGAAATAATATAAGATCTAAATGATATTAACTTGAACGTAAGTAAATAAAATTAAAGTAAATTGAAATAAATTGTCTCCCAAACCAAGTATCAGTTGTGTCTGTGAATGTGAGTGTAGACGAAATTTTTTATTTACCTTAAAATCCTTGCTGTATGAGATACTTGATAAATAACATAAATAATTTTTGAGTGATTTGTTCCAAAATATTTTTATTTTTATTTATTATTTTTTTATCTTTATTTATCCGAAATAAAAAAGTATAGACTAAATTAACTACGAATCATTAACTGTTCCGTACTGGAACAAGAGTAGTTTAATTCATATAATTTTATAGTCATTCTAAACATACTTAATAAGATGACACAATTTGGAGTATCTTAATGCTATTTACTTATTTTTTTTTTTCTTCACTGGGTTGGCGATCAGCCGTTATGTCTAAATTCAATCCTTAACGTGTGAGTTACGGCTACTACTAGCGCCACACAAACTAGCGGCAGTCGAGTCAGTGAAAGATTCGATTTGCTGTCATCGCCGCATACGCACCGAAGTTTTTGCGTGCTATTACAATATATTCTTCCCGAGATCTCTTTCACCCTGGAAGTACTGTGCTCAGTGACCTATGGACCCTTGTGCGATATATTCTGCGGGACTTTAATATCTGCGCTGTGCCGACTTGCCCGGGCTCTCTTTAGCCAACTCCAAGACACGAGGTTGCAGGAGGACTGCTGCGGTAAGTCGCCTAAACCCAGTAGAATATCGTACATTAACATTAAATCTTTTTTCAATTAGATTTTTGCGTTTAGTTTCGTGGTTAAAGCGTCTGGGCGCGATTTCGGTTACCGTGGCGGTGGAAAACTTCTCGTTAATTTTTCTACAACTTTAACGGTTCAATTTAAGTGCAGAGATTAACATTTTATAAGCCGAATATAAAATTTAGACGCTTAACTAGGAATCGATTAGTCTTGCGCGCACAGAGTTTGCAGCCGTCCTCAATCCGTGCTGCGGCGTCGAGTTCCCTGCTGATCCGGTGTCCGTCGCGAACAGATACGAATAAAAAAAAATCAGTTTAAAATAAGGCCACGTACACAATGCCGGCTTCGGTATTTCGGTAACAATAGGGCCTCGGATACAACGGCCGCATACACCATCTTCGGCTTTGTTAAAGGATGTTATATCTATCAGATGTAACGTTTATGGCGGAAATGTAAAAAAACCGCACACTGGAATTGCATTCATGCTGAGCGTACATTTGACGCTTTGTGTGGGAGGTTTTAAAAGGTGGTATGGGTATTCCCATTCGGTTTTTCTCACAAAAACAACCTATGCAAAACTGCGACTAACAGGTAGTTTTTAATAACATATACACGAATAACAATCAATTTCATGAAAATAACAGTTCGAATACTTCATAACAATAACAGAAAAATTAACGGCGACAAAATACACAAACTAACTTTATTAAAAAATCTAATTTAATTTAATACATGTAATTTATTCCCATTTCTTCTTATATCTATTCTATTCTACGGTATTTGATTTGTTTTCCAACTTCTGAGATGGACGCATAACGGTCTGTTCGAAAAGTCAGTAATTTAAGATTAAACGAGACACAATCTTTTAAATAGTTTAATATACCCACAATGTATGTTATATGCGTGAATTAAAGAAATCATTAATGCTAATGAACAAAAACGCATACACAATCCCCATTTCATCGAAACGTCTGTTAAGGATTCACACGGGAAGCCGTAGAAGAAAGCGTCAGCCACGATCAAGATAAAAACGGAACCGAGTAAAAATTACGAAGACCGAATCTCAGTTCTCGTAAACTCGTAAACATTCGGCCGGTGCGCCGTCCGCGTCCGCGGTGCAAGAATGCTACCGCCGCGCAAAAAGCGACACGGGCCGCGTGCACTAAAACGGATCCCGTGAAATTTCCCTCGCCCGGGATCCGCTCCAGTCCCGGGCGGGCGCGCGACAAAAATGCGGGATCCCGGCGCGAGAGCTGTCGGTATGTCGCCTCGTGTGGACACGTCTTTAGTTAGCGCGATCGAATAAGTGCAATGTGCCCTTAAGCGGCCGCATTCAAAGCTTCAGCCGACGCATTAGCATATTAAACGAATTGACATTATTGTACGCACTGATTTTTCTCTTTGCACTGAAACTGCTACATTGAAAGTTCATTTAGTCGGCAATCATCAGAGTCGTTTAACAATTAAAAGTTATATATAGTTATAATTAAAGGAGACTTAAGGGATTACTTTATTGTTTAACACTGAATACTTTTACAGGATTTTTTTTAAATATTTTATTTACTTTCACCGTTATTTTTTTTTTTTTCATACGCTGCAGCTAAATATTGACCAGGTAGTTTGAGGCAATTTGTTTCTAGTACTTATTTTGACGACGGTATACGTGATTTCATCTGAATCACTAACTCGTCCATCAATCGACTACGGTAAACATGTGAGCGATAACGTTAGTAACATTTTTTAATAAAAAAAAAAACAATTCCATTGAAATAATACAAAACTTACGAAAATATTCACAAATGTAACACTATATTAGCTAACATAGCTTATATCATATTTAACAAAACATAGTTTTTTTAAAACATAGTTTTTAAATAAAACTATGTTTTGTTAAATATTTCCTTATTACAGAAAAAACAGACAAGTCGACTATTTTAACGGCAAGGTGTCGGCTATGCCGTCGCTTAATTATTTAATATTTCCATTACCCAAATTGCGATACGCGAAATGTAAAGTTGCTTGGATACCAACCCAATTGTAGCCGGCTCTACCAGCATTGCGATTGCGCGCCATTGTGCTCAGCTGCACTCAAACCGGCCTATTTCACAATGAGCCCAGTTCGAATCCGATCCCTCGCGGGGATATCCAAATGCGTAGAGATAAGCCGGACTCCATACTGGGACACATAAGTGCCAAATCGAGATAGATTGCTAAATGAGAGCGAACGCGCAGCCACTGGCAGTAGGGTCACAGAGCAGCTACTGTTGTTGCACGAATGGGCAGACACGTTCGGGGAGGTGCCACGGCCTCACAGAACACAGGCATGAAGTGGCAGTGGAAGTGGACTAGCGCGTTTCATTTGTTCAGGCGTTTTAAATATCCATAAACAACAGATGAGTATTTGACCGTTTCAGTCTCTCATCTACTGCGGCCAAATGTCAGACAATTACTCGACTGAAGTAATTATCTGGATGTCTGTTTCACGATTATTATTACCAAATATTTCTTTTTCTATCGTTTCTTTACGTT